GTTGGTGAAAAGGGCACTGTTATCAAGACTGAAGAGGCTACTGAAGTTTCTAAAGTTGAGACTGCTGGAGGTGTAATTGCTGGCACTGTCACTGAAGCTATTGTGAAGGACAAAGACGTTGCCTCTACCATTGGCGCTATTGTTAAGAATACCGAATCCGTGACTGTAGAGGTTATCTCTGGTGATAAGAAAGTCGAAACTGTTGTTGATACTTCTGATATCATGGAGATAATTTCCAAGGTAGAAACCGATGCTAGCAAAACCGATGTTGTTGAAACTGTTCAGCAAAAGAAGGAGACTGATACCGAGAAAACTATATCTAAGACTGATGCAGTTGCAGCTGGTATTGTTGCAGGAGCTGTTGCTGAAGCTATTATTAAGGATAAATCTTCTGGAATTGAAGCTACAGTAGATGAATCCGAGACTACTGTTGTGAAAGTTATCTCTGGTGACAAGAAGTCAGAAACGGTTGTTGGCGATGTTGGAACCAAGAGCGATTCCTCAAATGTAGATGTTATTGTTAAGGAAACTGTTTCCGGCAACGTCACTGCCGTCGAAGAAACTAAGGATACCAAAGCTTCTGGCATAATCTCTGGAGTTGTTACTGAAGTTATTTCATCAGATAAAGAAATCTCTTCTATTACAGATTCTATTGCCAAGGAATCCGAATTCATTTCTGTCGAGGTCATTGCAGGGGACAAGAAGGCTGAAACAGTCGTTGACACCAAGGAAATTGCCTCTGAAGATGTTACCATCACTGCTGATATTGTCACTGGTGGTGTAAGAGACGTCATTGCCGAAGACAAGACAGTTGCTTCAATCACTGAAACTATTGTAAAGGACTCTGACTCTGTATCCATTGGTGTTGTTACTGGCGATAAGAATTCTGAAACTGTCATCTCAGTTGATGATAAGATTATTGTAGGTGAATCAGCTACTAGCGTTGAAATTGTCGAAACAAGAGAAAAGACAACAGCTCCTACCATTGCTGACAAGGTCACTGAGACTATCATTACTGATGACAAGGTTTCTTCCGCTATTGAATCTGTTGTTCATGAAGCCGATTCTGTTACTGTTGAAGTTATTACCGGTGACAAGAAGGCCGGAACTACTATAGATACATCAGCCATTAGGGATTCAGCATCCAAAGCTCAAGTAGTAGGCGAGAAGACACGCGACAATGCTGACAAGTTGACAAGTATCAAGGAAATTGCAACTGGTGTCATAGCTGGTGCTGTTGTCGAAGCCGTAGCTAGTGACTCCAAGACAGAAACCATCATTACGGAAATTGATACAGTTTCTGTTGAAGTTATTAAGGGTGACAAGAAGATCGAATCTGTACGCGACACTGATGCCAAGGATAAGGTTAATGTCATCATTAAAGAATCTGATGCTTCTACTGACGAGGTGAAGGTGGCTGACACTGTAAGCACCGAAGCTGTTACAGCTGGTGTTATCACTGGTGCCGTCGTTGAAGCCATTTGCAAGGATGAGGAGACTGCTAAGGTCGTTGATTCCATTGTCAAGGAGTCCAAGGATGTCACAGTTGATGTTGTTGTTGGTGACAGGATTGAAGGCGAAACTTCTATTACCAAGGTTAATGTTATTGTTAAAGAAGTAGAAGTATCTTCCGATGAAGTGATTGATACAAAGGATGCCACTGTTGTGCCTGAAATGGTTTCCGAAGGTATTGTTGACGTTGTTGCTGGTGCCGTGACAGAAACTATTGTAAGTAACAAGGAGATCTCTTCCAAGCTTGATACTGCCATCAAGGAATCCGATGCAGTTGTGGTGGAAGTTATTGCTGGTGACAAGAAGACTGGAACCATCGTTGATGTCACATCTGAGGAGGTTACTACTGGAAAAGCTGATGTTGTCATTAAAGACAAGCCAACTGTTGAAACTGTTGAAAAGAAGGAAACCACTGAAGCAACTGTTGGTGGCATCATCACTGGTGCTGTTACCGAAGCCATCGTTAGTGATAAAGAAGTTTCAACCACCATTGGTACAATCGTCAAAGAATTCAATACAGTTACTGCTGAGGCAGATACTACTGACAAGAAGACTGAAGCTGTCAAGACAGCTACTGAGGAAGAGACTGTTCTGGGCTCTACTGTTGATGTAGTTAAACAGAAGTCCGATATTGTTGTTGAAAAGACACAGGATATCTCCACAGTTGAAGTAATTGGTGTAATCGCTGGCACAGTTGCTGAATCTGTTACAAAGGACAAGGATGTTGTTTCTACTATTGATATGGCTGCCAAGAAGTCTGACAATGCCTTTGTCGAAGTTGCAGCTGGTGACAAGACATCTCAAGTTGTTGTTGGTCAAATCAAGGATAAAGACTCAGTCACTACTATAGAAGAAGCAGAATCTACTGTTGTTAGTGTAGAAGTTACTGGTAACGAAGATATCTCTACTTCGAAGAAGACCGATACTACAGATATTGTTGGCTCTGACGTTGATGTTATTGACAAAGAGTCTATAACTCAAGTTGTTAAAAAGACCGAAGCAATCACTGCAGGCATTGTTGCCGGTGCTGTCACTGAAACAGTTGTTGGAAACAAGGAAACCATTTCCGTCATTGAAGAGATTGTTAGAAAGTCTGGTAACGTCACAGTCGAAGTGGTTACAGACAAGACTGGTTCTCAAGACAATGTTGCTGGTGGTTCCAAGATTGGTATCATCGTCAAGGAATCTGACAAGGTCACGGATACAGAAGCTGAAAAGGTCAAAACCGATGTCACTGGTACCGTTGCTGGTGCTGTAGTTGAAGCTATTGTCAGCAACAAGGAAACTTCTTCTGCCATTGAAGCTATTATTAAAGAATCTGATTCCGTCCATATTGAAGTCATCACTGGAGAAACTATTATCCAGAATGTGATCGATGTCACTGATGGTAAAATTAGATATAGAATGAAGTCAGAAAGCAGTTTATTAACTACTATTTCTCATATTAGTAACTGTCGAAGAAGAAGTAACGCACGAAACTGTCTCTGCTGCTGAAGCCATTACTGCTGGTGTTGTTGCCAGTGGCGTGGTTGCCGCTATTGTTGGAAATGAGACGGTATCATCCAATGTTGAAACTATCGTTAAGGGGTCAGAATCTGTTGAAATCGAAGTTGTTGCAGTCGGCAGAACCCCTGAATCTGTTGATGTTACTGAAGGTCAACACACATCCTCTCAAATTGGTGTTGTGGTCAAGGAATCAACTTCAGCTGAAAAGAAGCCAATTTTTACAAAGGACAAGGTCAGTATTGGCTCTACTATTGCCCGTACTATTGTTCAGTCTGTACTCGATGACAAGAAGACTGCTTCTGCAGTTGAATCTACTATCAAAAAGTTTGATTCAGTATCTATTCAAGTTGCCGCTGGTAATGAGAAGACAGAGACAGTTATTGACACTACGACTGTCACTGGTGAAATCGTCTCTGATATCAAGATCGACGTCATTGAAAAGATTGAGCAGGACACTGTCACTGCTGGAGTAATCGCTGGTGCTGTTACCGAGACCATTGTTGCTGACA